CCCCAAAACCCCAAAACCCCAAAACCCCAAAACCCCAATTTATGTGTAAGTCAAAATTTAAGATTTTAATAAACGAATTAATTTCTATTGAATAATATTCTCATAGATATATCAATTTTATATCAATTATCGCCCTCATCTCTTTCATCGCAATCGCTGAGTTCTTCTTCATCAATTTCAACTATAGTTAAAAATATAAACAAGATTTATAAACTTACTGATAATGTTGTTTTTCTCCTTCATTAGTTCTTTGAGATATGGGCCATCTATTTTCTCATCGAAAATGAGTTCGAATTTATTGTCTGGACAGACATCATTTACAACACATTTCTTTTGACTCCAGTTTTCAGGAGGTGGGAACAAGGGATCTACTACTAATCTAAGGGAGTTCTCAACCATTCCTGGAATAAGTCTGGCAAGAAGTGGACATCCGAGTTCCAAACAAGGATTTGTATTTACCTCTATAATATATACTTTGAAATCTTCATCAAACATAAAGTCGAAACCGTAAATCTAAAATAATTTTATTATCAAACTAATCATACCTCCATCGTGTTTATTCTTCTTTTAGGGTCAATTTTTTCATAGACTGCTCTGAAAGCATCTGTTACAAGTTTCTAAATAGATTAATATAAATGGGAAATTTACTTTCATCTATGGCAAAAGATCTCTCTCAAAGCATATACTAAGATCAGCAAAATTTTTATCAAGATAGTTTTGGAAATCAGTGTAGCTAAGTTTATTACCTGCCTCATATTTTCCATAATCTTCCGCCTTCTTTTGTACAGCATCATTCGTAAGATGGATCATTCTATTGCTGAGATTCTAGAGAGTGAACTCTCTGCAGGATGTTCTGAGATAGCCATCCTAGTAGAAGTATCCCTTTAAGTTTCCATTAATTGAGGACATAAATGCATAAAGCCTAATGTCAAACTTTCGCTTGTTAATCAACAAGGGGTTATGAATGTATTTTTAGACAATGCAAGTTCTTTTTTTATTAGCAGTCGACTCTAAGATAATGCTCTTGATTTCCTCATAATCTTTGGAGACCATGATGCCGTTACCTCTATTAGTGTTTTCACCAGGTTTAATGATCCAAATATTCTTTTTTACTGATTGTCTTTCATCAATCACCTGACCTTGATTCTCAATTTTTTGTTGTTTTTATTTCTTTACTTCTTCCTCTTCTTTGTAATAAAATGATTTGAATCTTATGAACTCTGGATCTTCTAGACCTTCTTTTATATGGAATGTGACAGGGAGTGCAGAGAAGACATCTTTTCCCATAGCCTCATAATATATTCTCATGTTAAGAAACATAGCCTTTTTATTACTTAGATGGAAATTATCCTCAAGCTTATTGTATAATTTTACTAAAAGTTAGTTTGATTAATTTTACTAGGTTGGCTAAATTTCTTTACCTACTGCTGCTTACTTTTCAGTTGTGGCTTGGATGATTTGAATATCTTTCTTATCGCCAGAACTCTCTAGTGACTAAGTTGACGATTAAAGTTGATTCTTTCTTTTCTTTTTCATCTTGCCACTAGACATGGTTGGTGTTTACATTAGTGTAGAGGTAGAGCTAATACTACTCTGTCCTCCATTACCAGCCAATCTCAAATTTGATTTCTTATCTTCGAATTTGCAGGTGAGCTAATCCATTATGACATTTTTCCTTAATTGAGTCCACATAAAATTCACCTTTTCAATTTCTTCTTTATCATGCAATAACCACCAATATCTGGTCTTGAATAATGTTCTAATAAGAATAGAATTGTTTCCTTTACCAACGAAACATTTGTATTGCTGTTGTGGCTGATTTATTTATTCTTCACATGCTCCTACATCCCCAGACGAGGATACATTTTCTTCCTACATTATTTTACAAAGATAAGCTATCAGCTTTTCTTTAATCATGTTCGCCTATTCTCTTCCTCCTTTTAGATAGCCATCAGGACCGAAGGATTGTTTATTGAGAATTTACGACATTCCCATCTATCTTGAAAGCTAGAGTGTAGCTGGAATATTGATTTTATTTTTCGTCCTAAATAGCAATTGAAGAAGCAAATTGTAATTATTTAAGGACTAGTTAATTCTGTGATCTTTATGATGAGCATAGTCTTCCCAATTTTACAAAATTTTGATCTTAGTAGGCCCGTATTTCGTGTTTTGTTGTGTAAGTTATATTGTCATTGCTTATATTTGGCTAATTTGGGAATCCTCCATTGTCTATGCTTTAGATTAAAGTCTTCTTGGTTATGAGCCAGTACCTTTTTAACTCATAGATCTAGCACTATTCTTTTCTGTTCCTTAAGCCATAGAGTCATTTTTAAGATGATTTCTAGTTTGATTTGAGATAAAATGCATGTTAGTTGATGATGTTGTTGTTGAGTTCATTGATCTAGTTTCATTCTCAGATTCATACTCGGCTCCCTTAGAATTGATAGTTGAGTTGTTTCTAAGTCTCACTGGTTTGATGTCCTTTTACTTTAGACCCGTTGGAACAAACTTACGATTATCTTGTTTATTCATTTATTAGGAGATATTCTTTTAAATATTTGTCATTGTCTTGCTAAACTCACTAAGATTACTATCATTGCTATCATCTCTATCCTTAATTGTCTCTTTTTATTAATTCTCTAAATTTTGATTAAGACCTACTACAATTATAAAAGTTGTGGCAACTTTTCTCCCATTATCTTTGAGACCCTCATTAAGATATTGCTTTTTAGATGATACTTTGAGTTTTCTTCCTTTTTCTGAGACATTTCTCATTATGTCTGAACAATATTCAAACAGTAACTGCTAGCATTATGCGTCTTCAGGATTTGGATTCAAAATAATCTTTACATTATCATTTTAAGTAGAGAGGAGTGTGAAATGTATAGAGGGTGATTAATTGTGGTTAATAAAGTTATATTTGCTAGTATCATTGACGTTTGTAATTTAAATTAGATCTTCTACACCATTGCTATTCATAGATTTATTTGTTTCTGGTGAGAAGTAGCTACCATCCTTGTTAGTTCCTGGCTAGCCAAAGTCTTAAGATCCTCTCATATTCTTATATCTCTGTGTTTATTATTGTGCTTAGTTATTGTTCAAAGACTATTTCTTTGAAGGACTATTATTCTATGTCGTCAAAGAAGACATTCTTTTTTCCTTCAGAGATAACTAAGATGGAGAACTAGTTAATGTTCCGTCCTTAATAAATATTTATTTCTCAGCATAATCCCTGTAAAAAGTATCATGAGAGAGCTAAATAAACACATAATCATAGAGAACTGACTGAGGCATTTTATATTCTTATAGATAACTGTCATCATTCTGTTAACCATTTAGTTTCATTGCCTACTTAGCAAAGCTTTTTGCTTGAACAGTAAGGTCTTGACTCTTTTAAGATAATTAGTTGCTTCTATTTGTTATATCACTAATATTACCCTGTATACCTGAATTAGCGATAGTTATTTTTCTGCTTAATCCTTTTGAATCAATATGCATCTACTCACCACTTATGTTTAAATTACTAAGGGGAGTATTCTGTGACTGTTACTTTTAAACTTAAGATTTAATCATATTTAGATTCTACTTGAAATTAGTAGCCTCTTATGGTGGTTGGAAAATAGAATTCTAATTGTATTGCTAAACTGAATATCCACCGTCGAGAGCTGTCGCATCATCTTATTGTGATATCTGATACTGATTCAAGTAATCACTTTGATTTTCATCCTGAGACTTGCCATAGTGGCCCTTACTTAATTAAGCCATATCTTGCTCCATTTAGAATCGATTTACATAATCAACATATTTAGGATTGTTGATAGTACCAGTATTGTTCTTCATTTTCATTGGCTAAAATTCAATATTGCTATCACTTTATTAAGAATTCATTTGCTACTAAAACTTTCCATAGTGACTTTGAGGAGGGCTTACAAATTTCCTTCCTGCTGCTGTGTTTCCTCCAATCATCTAAGATTGAATTTATGAAACATTCTTTGTGGATCCTAAAGGATTGTTCTGGAATTTAGTTGAGATGTCATTGTTGAAAATTTGCATCTATCCTGCCTTGGCAGCAACACTACGATTACTCTAATATTACAATGGCTACTGCTGCTGCTATTATAATCCTTCTTAACCATTATTTTAGTTAATTGTCTTACCGACGTTAGAGTAGTAATTCTCTAAAGCTTGTCTGCTAGTACCATGATTGCTAGTCAGTTACGAAACTCCCTAAGTAGATTGAGAAATTTAGCTAGTGCCTTCCTAGAAATTAGCAGTATTAGGATGTGATTGGCTTGCAAGTGGATTTGGCTTTATTGCTTGCTTCTGAGCTGATTATGGATGCTAGGTCTGATTATTACCAACACTGTAACCGCTCACGCTCATCATTCCAATTCCATTGATGCCAATATTAGGACCTGTATTGTTGGTGTTGTTTTTTTATTAAATAGGATCAGCAATAAGTTGAAAGTCCTTCGTGACTTATGTACCTTTTATATAATCTGATCCTTTAAAACTGTTGCTTGTTTTATACACAGAGCTTGTTTTCATGAGTTCAGCTAGGCTAAAAACAATGATAGAGACTAAATTACTTGAGTTGTCTATCTTGGCCGATATTCTTCTTATTTAAGCCCGTATACCCACCTCCCATCACTGCTGAATTTCCGATATGAGAGTTCATAGCTCCAGCATTGAGATGACCTAATTAAAAAAATTAAAAATCCATAAATCACCCTGTATAAGTCAGTATCATGGACTAATTTACTTACTGGGATTGATTTGAGATATATTTGATTCATTTCTTGGATAGTTCATTGAGTAAGATCCTCCTCCTACATAACGTAATTAAACAGCAAATTCAATAGATTACTATCTTTCATAATTCTAGCGATAATTTAAAAATATTTATAATTCTTCATTCTCAGATCTACTCTCTTCAATTGCGTAAGGGGTTTTGGGGTTTTGGGGTTTTGGGG